TTCGCCCACCGACCAGTTGGGTGGATATGGGCTCAACTTTTTTTTTGTATTTTCTCAAAAATACATTTCTAAACTGTTCTGATTCAATATTACCAGGTTTTTAAGTAGACTAATGCATACAAAACTGATTTCTACAAACACTAAACTTATCTGATATGAAAGTAACCAAATATCCAGACAATAATATTAATAATTTTAAGTCGCGGAATAACAATGACCTTTCAACAACTCTGCTGAACGCGTACAAAAAAAAAACACACACTGCCATTATATTGTCTCAAACTATATCTCCGGAGAACTTTACAATAATACAAAAATATGGTTCATTAATTACTCGGTATTAAGTATACCAAATATGTTCCAGTATTAAGGCCATACACAAGTACTATACAGTAAGCCACCAACATATACAAATGTTTCATACAACTTTATAAACACAGGCAACACCTGTTTCTGACTAATAATTACACACACACACAACCTATGCAATTATTTGATAAATTGAGCAGTTTATTACTAGATTAAACAGGTCAATGTTTTTGTTAGTCTAGAAGCTCTCGCTACATTCATTTATTATTTTGTTAAGTGGATTAAGAGACGTGGCAGAGATTAGTGAAGACAGCTGAACCCATCACGTTATTCAAGACTTGTTATGTACACTAAACTATGTAACTACCTTGTTGACACAACATTGCTTTTGTTGAGCACATTATGTGCCTCTAGTCTTATATACTACCACCCACAGGAGGGTTATGGGGTCTACTACCACCCACAGCATGGTTATGGGGTCCACTACCACCCACAGGAGGGTTATGGGGTCCACTACCACCCACAGGAGGGTTATGGGGTCCACTACCACCCACAGGAGGGTTATGGGGTCCACTACCACCCACAGGAGGGTTATGGGGTCCACTACCACCCACAGGAGGGTTATGGGGTCCACTACCACCCACAGCAGGGTTATGGGGTCCACTACCACCCACAGCATGGTTATGGGGTCCACTACCACCCACAGCATGGTTATGGGGTCCACTACCACCCACAGGAGGGTTATGGGGTCCACTACCACCCACAGGAGGGTTATGGGGTCCACTACCACCCACAGGAGGGTTTATGGGGTCCACTACCCCCCACAGGAGGGTTATGGGGTCCACTACCACCCACAGGAGGTTATGGGGTCCACTACCACCCACAGGAGGGTTATGGGGTCTACTACCACCCACAGGAGGGTTATGGGGTCCACTACCACCCACAGGATAGTTATGGGGTCCACTACCACCCACAGGAGGGTTATGGGGTCCACTACCACCCACAGGAGGGTTATGGGGTCCACTACCACCCACAGGAGGGTTATGGGGTCCACTACCACCCACAGGAGGGTTATGGGGTCCACTACCACCCACAGGATAGTTATGGGGTCCACTACCACCCACAGGAGGGTTATGGGGGTCCACTACCACCCACAGGAGGGTTATGGGGTCCACTACCACCCACAGGAGGGTTATGGGGTCCACCACCACCCACATCAATCAAGACAGTTGATCAATCAATTACCCAAACATACTAAATGCTCCATGTCAATCAAGACATGACAGGAAAATAAATAGTTACCCCCACACCTGGCCAATCTTGTGAGCCAACATGGGCGGCATCCGAGGACCCACCATGGCTACTCAGTGTTGCCAGGGGCCATTATCACCATCTCTCCCACATTGTCACAGTGTTTTAGGATAGTGACATTGAGTAGTGAGTAACGGATGAGCACGTTAACGCCTGGACGGCCAACACCTCCCGCTGTACAAATATTGTCCACAAAATATACTACTCGGCATCATACCTATTTCCGCATAGCTAAGTCAGACCCTCATTGGCTCCTGCACCAACTCTCTAATACAACTCCCTGCCTTGGACTGTATCTTGTATGTTATCGTGTTAACATATTGGTATAAATATAAATACCATTTTCAGATGAAAACAATGAATATAATTATGTAAAAATTAATGACGTGACCTTGTGGCAACACCATAGTTGACCAGAGTGGGGGGGGTCACTTCCACCATCACAGTGACAGCCATTTTAAACCATTAAAAAACTTATTCATTAAACCATCCTCACAAACAACCGTTGATGGGTAATCCTTAAACGGCGCCAAACAGCTGCTTTGAGAAGCAATAGTCGGGTGGTAAGGAGATAACGGGAGATGGGACCGCTAGCCGGTAATGCTGCGAGGTGCTGGGCTTGTTTAACCCCCCACCACCACCACCACCACCGTCTTGTTAACCTCCTCCCCACACTTACACACTCCTCTACAACACTGCCCACCACCACCACCGTCTTGTTAACCTCCTCCCCACACTTACACACTCCTCTACAACACTGCCCACCACCACCACCACCACCGTCTTGTTAACCTCCTCCCCACACTTACACACTCCTCTACAACACTGCCCACCACCACCACCACCACCACCGTCTTGTTAACCTCCTCCCCACACTTACACACTCCTCTACAAACACTGCCCACCACCCCGTCTTGTCACCCTCCTCCCCACACTTACACACTCCTCTACAACACTGCCCACCACCACCACCACCACCGTCTTGTTAACCTCCTCCCCACACTTACACACTCCTCTACAACACTGCCCACCACCACCTGTCTTGTCACCCTCCTCCCCACACTTACACACTCCTCTACAACACTGCCCACCACCCCCTGTCTTGTCAACCTCCCCCCCCACACTTACACACTCCTCTACAACACTGCCCACCACCACCGTCTTGTCAACCTCCCCCCCCACACTTACACACACCTCTACAACACTGCCCACCACCACCGTCTTGTCACCCTCCCCACACTTACACACTCCTCTACAACACTGCCCACCACCACCACCACCCCTGTCTTGTCACCCTCCTCCCCACACTTACACACTCCTCTACAACACTGCCCCCCACCACCACCACCCCTGTCTTGTCACCCTCCTCCCCCACTTACACACTCCTCTACAACACTGCCCACCACCACCACCACCCCTGTCTTGTCACCCTCCCCCCCACACTTACACACTCCTCTACAACACTGCCCACCACCACCACCACCGTCTTGTCAACCTCCCCACACTTACACACTCCTCTACAACACTGCCCCACCACCACCACCACCGTCTTGTCAACCTCCCCACACTTACACTCCTCTACAACACTGCCCCCACCACCACCACCACCCCTGTCTTGTCAACCTCCCCCCCACACTTACACACTCCTCTACAACACTGCCCACCACCACCACCACCCCTGTCTTGTCAACCTCCTCCCCACACTTACACACTCCTCTACAACACTGCCCACCACCACCACCACCCCTGTCTTGTCAACCTCCCCCCCACACTTACACACTCCTCTACAACACTGCCCACCACCACCACCACCCCTGTCTTGTCAACCTCCTCCCCACACTTACACACTCCTCTACAACACTGCCCACCACCACCACCACCACCGTCTTGTCACCCTCCTCCCCACACTTACACACTCCTCTACAACACTGCCCACCACCACCACCACCCCTGTCTTGTCAACCTCCCCCCCACACTTACACACTCCTCTACAACACTGCCCACCACCACCACCACCCCTGTCTTGTCACCCTCCTCCCCACACTTACACACTCCTCTACAACACTGCCCACCACCACCACCACCCCTGTCTTGTCAACCTCCCCCCCACACTTACACACTCCTCTACAACACTGCCCACCACCACCGTCTTGTCAACCTCCCCCCCACACTTACACACTCCTCTACAACACTGCCCCCACCCACCGTCTTGTCAACCTCCCCCCACACTTACACACTCCTCTACAACACTGCCCACCACCACCGTCTTGTCAACCTCCCCCCCCACACTTACACACTCCTCTACAACACTGCCCACCACCACCGTCTTGTCAACCTCCCCACACTTACACACTTCTCTACAACACTGCCCACCACCACCACCGTCTTGTCAACCTCCCCCCCACACTTACACACTCCTCTACAACACTGCCCACCACCACCGTCTTGTCACCCTCCCCACACTTACACACTCCTCTACAACACTGCCCACCACCACCACCACCCCTGTCTTGTCACCCTCCTCCCCACACTTACACACTCCTCTACAACACTGCCCACTACCACCACCACCACCGTCTTGTTAACCTCCTCCCTACACTTACACACTCCTCTACAACACTGCCCACCACCACCGTCTTGTCACCCTCCCCCCACACTTACACACTCCACTACAACACTGCCCACCACCACCACCACCACCGTCTTGTTAACCTCCTCCCCACACTTACACACTCCTCTACAACACTGCCCACCACCCCTGTCTTGTCACCCTCCTCCCCACACTTACACACTCCTCTACAACACTGCCCACCACCCCTGTCTTGTCAACCTCCCCCCACACTTACACACTCCTCTACAACACTGCCCACCACCACCGTCTTGTCAACCTCCCCCCCACACTTACACACACCTCTACAACACTGCCCACCACCACCGTCTTGTCACCCTCCCCACACTTACACACTCCTCTACAACACTGCCCACCACCACCACCACCCCTGTCTTGTCACCTCCTCCCCACACTTACACACTCCTCTACAACACTGCCCACCACCACCACCACCCCTGTCTTGTCACCCTCCTCCCCACACTTACACACTCCTCTACAACACTGCCCACCACCACCACCACCCCTGTCTTGTCACCCTCCCCCCCACACTTACACACTCCTCTACAACACTGCCCACCACCACCACCACCGTCTTGTCAACCTCCCCACACTTACACACTCCTCTACAACACTGCCCACCACCACCACCACCGTCTTGTCAACCTCCCCACACTTACACACTCCTCTACAACACTGCCCACCACCACCACCACCCCTGTCTTGTCAACCTCCTCCCCACACTTACACACTCCTCTACAACACTGCCCACCACCACCACCGTCTTGTCACCCTCCTCCCCACACTTACACACTCCTCTACAACACTGCCCACCACCACCACCACCCCTGTCTTGTCAACCTCCCCCCCACACTTACACACTCCTCTACAACACTGCCCACCACCACCACCACCCCTGTCTTGTCACCCTCCTCCCCACACTTACACACTCCTCTACAACACTGCCCACCACCACCACCACCCCTGTCTTGTCAACCTCCCCCCCACACTTACACACTCCTCTACAACACTGCCCACCACCACCGTCTTGTCAACCTCCCCCCCCACACTTACACACTCCTCTACAACACTGCCCACCACCACCGTCTTGTCAACCTCCCCCCCACACTTACACACTCCTCTACAACACTGCCCACCACCACCGTCTTGTCAACCTCCCCCCCCCACACTTACACACTCCTCTACAACACTGCCCACCACCACCGTCTTGTCAACCTCCCCACACTTACACACTTCTCTACAACACTGCCCACCACCACCACCGTCTTGTCAACCTCCCCCCCACACTTACACACTCCTCTACAACACTGCCCACCACCCCTGTCTTGTCAACCTCCCCACACTTACACACTCCTCTACAACACTGCCCACCACCACCGTCTTGTCAACCTCCCCACACTTACACACTCCTCTACAACACTGCCCACCACCACCGTCTTGTCAACCTCCCCACACTTACACACTCCTCTACAACACTGCCCACCACCACCTCATCGCCTTAGTCATGGCTACACTTCTCCACATAACCTCAACATTTCAAAAGAAATGTATCATAACTGGACGTTCCCCAGAAGCAGACTGAATCCAGATATGTACAGACCTGGATATACCCGAGGGCCATTAACACTAGTGGCCTCGATGAGGACAGGAAGCCGGCAGATTGTCAAAGGTCTTCTCCCCCATTTGTCCTGATTATTTTTTCACACTGGATTTTAAAGTTCAAAAAGAGTTTTAGTGTTTTCGGCTTTGGCGGGTAGGCGGTTCCATGGGTTTATAACCCTGTGGGTGGAAAAGCGTGTCCTGTTTCCAGTCTTATATTGTGGCTTGTTGAGCTTGAACCCGTTGCTCCTTGTTTGTGTTGCATCTGAACTTTTGAACAAGTTATCTGGAACCTCCTACTCCAAAATGTTCAGTATTTTGAAAGTTCTTAAATGTTAATCCAGAGCTGAAACTCTTCCTTGAGAGATGTAACAGAACCCCTGCCACCACACCAGACACAAACATCCCTCATATCCCCAGAGTTAGACTAAATCTTACTAAAATTTGCATTCCATGCAAATAAAAGGGCCCAGTCTATGGCACTCGCTCCCTTTTAAATTAAAAAAATGTTCAACCTATGCTTTATTCAAAAGTAAAAGCAAAGTACCCAATTTCATGCTCATAGTTTCCTACCTGGTGCTTCAAACTCTCACTGTCTGGCGCTACCCACTCGCCAGATTTTAATACTTAATTATACTGGCAATATTGCATGTCTTAATACTATCAATTGATACTGCAAGTTATGTTGAACAAAAATTTTGCTACACTGTACCTATTAATACTCTTAGTTTTATGTGTTGGATTAATGACCTGCAAGAATCACTGTATTAGTGGCTTTGAAACAATGTAAGAACACCAGTGTCATGAACTCTCACAATCCAATGTACCTTCTTGTAGACTAAATAAATAAAGGCTTGTGTGAGATCCGCCGTGTCATGACTGGTGTGTTGCTGTGTTAGCCCTCACACCCTCAACCTGTCCTTGTTATCACAGTTGACTTAGCTCTGGAATGATATTTGTTGCCCGGTGTTGCACATCTCCTGAAGATGAGAGGATACAATAATCCAAGTGGGGCCAACCTACCTACCTATACCAGATAAAATATTATCCCTAATAAAGTAAAGATTTGTGATTTTGACTTATCCAAAGTGATGTAAGGAAGCACAAATTGTATCCTTGTAGTAGGTTTATACCTTAGCTATGTCATCACACCCAGCCATACACAGCTGCTCGCCCCCCCCTCCCCTACACCACCTCTTACTCGCCATACACATCAATAATTACAGCATTACATCTACCTTCCGCCAACACCATCAACCTTCACATCAAAAGTACTAATTCCCTCGCCAGTATCTATAATTATTACTGCCATGCATATAGGCTTACGTCTTTTCCCTACTTGTTACTTATATACTATTATGTATAATGGGCCGTGGGTACCTCTATTGGTGATGAAGGCTACACTCCTACAGAGCCACTAACACACAGTGTTTCCCGCAGGTCCTAAGTAAGTAATTATCAAAAGAAGGCACCAAACCAGGAAGGTTATGTAGCATCATCAGAGGGCGAGTGGGTAGCATAACCTTCTTAGCGAGTTATTAGCACAAGCCGGGATACTAAGGTGATGAAGGATCAGCCAGGCTGTGGTGGGTATGTGGGCCTGCGGGCCGCTCCAAGCAAGAGCCTGGTGGACCAAACTCTCACAAGTCAAGCCTGGCCTCGGGCCGGGCTTGGGGAGTAGAAGAACTCCCAGAACCCCATCAAGTAGGTATCGAGCAGATGGATTAGGTCCGTCATTGTTCTACGTTTGAATAATGTATGTTGGATATTTTGTTCAAGCTGGTAATTATAATTAATTAACTTTAATTATCAGCATAAGATATATATTGTAGACTTTGTATAACCATCTCAATCATTACATGTAAATTATGATTAACAACTAATGCCTCTGTTCACCTGTTAGTAAATAGGTACAGGAGCGAAGGTGACTGTTGTGGGTGGCATCACTGGCAAGGTCGGTGGCTAGGCCTATGATGACCTCAATAAGTGTAACAGGCTTCCTGTCACTGACAGTGGTCAATTACTTTAGTAACTTTAAGACTTGCCCGAGACGCTCTCTGTACAGTTGACTTTACAAAACTTTACACTAGCACTTTAATAAATATACAAGTTATATCTACTATATTGGTATGATGCCATTGTGTATATGTCAAAGTTGTAACAATATTCCAGGTAAACTTTCCTAGTAAGAGCTTGTTGAGGCTGTCAACTTACGCGTGTCCGCGGAGAGAAACATTTAACTCTTGCACACCACCACCACCAACACCAATACCACCACCACCACCACCACCGCCACCGCCACCACCAACACCACCACCACCACCACCACCACCGCCACCAACACCAATACCACCACCACCACCGCCACCACCAACACCAATACCACCACCACCACCGCCAACACCACCACCACCAATACCACCACCGCCACCGCCACCACCAACACCAACACCACCGCCACCAATACCACCACCGCCACCGCCACCGCCACCACCAACACCACCAACACCACCGCCACCACCAACACCACCACCGCCACCACCAATACCACCACCGCCACCACCAACACCACCGCCACCGCCACCAATACCACCACCACCGCCGCCACCACCAACTCCACCACCACCACCACCACCGCCACCACCAACACCGCCGCCACCAACACCACCACCAACACCACCACCGCCACCACCAACACCAAAACCACCACCACCACCGCCACCGCCAACACCACCACCACCAATACCACCACCGCCAACACCAACACCACCGCCACCAATACCACCACCACCACCGCCACCGCCAACACCAATACCACCACCACCACCACCACCGCCACCGCCACCACCAATACCACCACCACCACCGCCACCGCCACCGCCACCAATACCACCACCACCGCCGCCACCACCAACACCACCACCACCACCACCACCACCACCAACGCCACCACCAACACCGCCGCCACCAACACCACCACCAACACCACCACCGCCACCACCAACACCAATACCACCACCACCACCGCCACCACCAACACCACCGCCACCGCCACCAATACCACCACCACCACCGCCACCACCACCACCGCCACCACCAACACCACCACCGCCACCACCACCACCACCACCACCGCCAAGCTATTAGTGTGTAGCATAGTAAGGTAATTCTCGCGGGGAAAGTACTAATTAATTACCACTTTATAGCACTTATAAGAAATATGAGGGGTAAGGATTTAAGATAAAATGCAGGAATGGAAGGACGCCCAATGTCTGACAGTCGGGGATTGAACTCCAACCTGCAAGAAGCGAGACGATCTATCAACCCTTCAGTCTGAGTGATTGGGCCAACAAGAATGTCGTATGTTGCCAAGTAGTGCCTTTATTTATCATGGACATTCAAATACTATATCTTACGTGAGTTTAAATGTGAATGGAGGTAAGGTACGTACCCCGTATTTAATGTTAGTTACTGATTGTGTGTGTAGCTTAACTGGCCGTCTTCACCACGCTTCAACTCATTCTACACTTAACCTTGAAAGATTGTAAATTCAAGTTCTACAAATGGTTCTTGAATGACAGACCAAAAGTGTTCATTCCATGAACCCCCCCCCCCCCCCACGTTCCTCTCTATTTCCTCCTTTTCCTCCACAGGTGAAACTCACTTGTGTGTATCTTTGTTAGTGCTCGCAGGAGTGCAAGTTTCCACTCCAGGGCCCGGCCATATGTCCATGAGCCGCTTCATGCAGTAACTTCCGACGACACTCTTATGTTACATCTGTATGTAGTCATGTATACAGCGAGCCTCTGATGGCTCTTGCCCTAACACACTTCTCCACTTGCTCACGCTAAAACAATTGTGCCTTGTGCTCCTTGTGTGTGATCAACTATTTTATACCTGCATCTCGTCGTTATCTTCCTTTCCATACCAAGCAGCCTTTTATTTCCTTAATCTTTATCAACATTAAATGTTGCAATCAGGTTGCATCAGGTTATCCTCTCCAGGGAGGTCTAGTAGAATTATTATGCTGTAGCCTCATGTGGTAGGTCTTATTACATGGAGTAATAATGTAGCAAGTCTGGAAATAATCTTTGACGGGATGAGAGAGAGGAGTGCTGCGTAATAGTCTTCACCTCACGCATGTGGCACACAGTCTTCTCAATGACTAGTCTATTTAAGTCACTGAAGGTTCCAATGTTTAGCAGCTTTTAATATGCCGCCAATGTTATTGAGTGTATGTGAGTGCCTCCAGGTTTTGTCCTTCAACTTTCTGGGATCACATTTTAGCCACTTAATGGACCATTATGTATATATACAATACATGTTCACTCGTCACATGTATACATGTGATTTCAATACAATATACGTGTATCAAACTTGGCGTGTGTACCAAAACCCGTATATATATATATACCGATGATGGCGGAGACGAGGACCCAGCGAGTCACTTGCTCGGGCCCCCAGACTACGCCTCACTTCAGTACCATCACTGAGACACTCAGACCTGGTCACGGTGTTCATAATAGTAACACCACCACACCAGTGGCCGCCTCCACCACCTCCCACTACCCGGATACTTCTGCTCCTTCAACCACTCGCAAAGTTGTAACGCACGCTAATTATGTTCATCAAGTCTGCCTAGTAGAGCACGAAATGATAAATACCCAACGTAGTAGTTTATGTATGGTGGTTGCATATTAAAAATGGTTGTTAGAGTCGGATGAAGCGATGATTGAGAGAGATATAGGGTGTAGTGTGGTGGAGATGCGGCAGCAGCAGTCACGGTGTGCGAGGCACAGCTGACTGGTGGTTCCTCACTACCCACACCTCACACACCTGCCACAATTACCTGTACTCTACACCACACCAACACTAACTCTTGCCCCAGAGGGCAACAAGACACTACCCAGCGGGTTTTCTTCCTACTGGGGAGTGTTGTACATGCTGCTATGGCGGTGTGTCCACTCACAGGATGAGTGGCGCTGCCCAATACTGTCACTATGGCGGTGTCCACTCACAGGATGAGTGGCGCTGCCCAATACTGTCACTATGGCGGTGTCCACTCACAGGATGAGTGGCGCTGCCCAATACTGTCACTATGGCGGTGTGTCCACTCACAGGATGAGTGGCGCTGCCCAATACTGTCACTATGGCGGTGTGTCCACTCACAGGATGAGTGGCGCTGCCCAATACTGTCACTATGGCGGTGTGTCCACTCACAGGATGAGTGGCGCTGCCCAATACTGTCACTGGCGGTGTGTCCACTCACAGGATGAGTGGCGCTGCCCAATACTGTCACTATGGCGGTGTGTCCACTCACAGGATGAGTGGCGCTGCCCAATACTGTCACTATGGCGGTGTGTCCACTCACAGGATGAGTGGCGCTGCCCAATACTGTCACTATGGCGGTGTGTCCACTCACAGGATGAGTGACGCTGCCCAATACCGTCACTATGGCGGTGTGTCCACTCACAGGATGAGTGACGCTGCCCAATACTGTCACTATGGTGGTGTGTCCACTCACAGGACGAGTGACGCTGCCCAATACTGTCACTATGGTGGCGTGTCCACTCACAGGACGAGTGACGCTGCCCAATACTGTCACTATGGCGGTGTCCACTCACAAGATGAGTGACACTGTCCAATACTGTCACTATGACGGTGTGTCCACTCACAGGATGAGTGACACTGTCCAATACTGTCACTATGACGGTGTGTCCACTCACAGGATGAGTGACGCTGCCCAATACTGTCACTATGACGGTGTGTCCACTCACAGGATGAGTGACGCTGCCCAATACTGTCACTATGGCGGTGTGTCCACTCACAGGATGAGTGATGCTGCCCAATAAACTCGCCCTCCGGGAACACATTAACAACTTAAGTCAGCCCCCCCCCCCCCCCGCACCAAACCTGAGGGGTGAGAGTGCAGGAAGTGGTACAGTAGTATAGAAAGCTTGCTGGGCTTCAGGGCCAGTGTTGCCAGCCAGGTGTGTGTGGTAGAGCCTGGCTGGTAGTGGTGGTGGTGTGGTGTCCAGCAGCAGCGGGGCTCAACACTACCGTCTCCACCACACCAACATTCACCACACCACACCACTCACACACACAATAACTCTGGCCTTCCAAGAATGACACACTTGGCACCTGGTGAACTTTCCGCTGCAGCAATTAAGTTCACCTGTGATGAATCCACACCTGACTCTCAACACCTGTTGGAGGCTAATTATATCTGTAATGTTATCTCCCCCCCCCAGCCACACCCCCGGCACTCTTACCATACCACACCCCCGGCACTCGTACCATACCACACCCCCGGCACTCGTACCATACCACACCCCCGGCACTCGTACCATACCACACCCCCGGCACTCGTACCATACCACACCCCCGGCACTCGTACCATACCACACCCCCGGCACTCGTACCATACCACACCCCCGGCACTCGTACCATACCACACCCCCGGCACTCGTACCATACCACACCCCCGGCACTCGTACCATACCACACCCCCGGCACTCGTACCATACCACACCCCCGGCACTCGTACCATACCACACCCCCGGCACTCGTACCATACCACACCCCCGGCACTCGTACCATACCACACCCCCGGCACTCGTACCATACCACACCCCCGGCACCCTTACCATACCACACCCCCGGCACTCTTACCATACCACACCCCGGCACTCTTACCATACCACACCCCCGGCACCCTTACCATACCACACCCCCGGCACCCTTACCATACCACACCCCCGGCACCCTTACCATACCACACCCCCGGCACTCGTACCATACCACACCCCAACACCACCACCACTCTCTGCTGCTCCACCTACACCACCATCTCTCTCTGCTCCACCACCACCTCTCTCTGCTCCACCACCTACACCACCACCTCTCTCTGCTCCACCTACACCACCACCTCTCTCTGCTCCACCACCTACACCACCACCTCTCTCTGCTCCACCACCTACACCACCACCTCTCTCTGCTCCACCACCTACACCACCACCTCTCTCTGCTCCACCACCTACACCACCACCTCTCTCTGCTCCACCACCTACACCACCACCTCTCTCTGCTCCACCACCTACACCACCACCTCTCTCTGCTCCACCACCTACACCACCACCTCTCTCTGCTCCACCTACACCACCACCTCTCTCTGCTCCACCACCTACACCACCACCTCTCCCTGCTCCACCTACACCACCACCTCTCCCTGCTCCACCACCTACACCACCACCTCTCCCTGCTCCACCACCTACACCACCACCTCTCTCTGCTCCACCACCTACACCACCACCTCTCTCTGCTCCACCACCTACACCACCACCTCTCTCTGCTCCACCACCTACACCACCACCTCTCTCTGCTCCACCACCAACACCACCACCACTCGCTGCTCCACCACCTACACCACCACCTCTCTCTGCTCCCCTTCCTACACCACCACCTCTCTCTGCTCCACCTACACCACCACCTCTCCCTGCTCCACCACCTACACCACCACCTCTCCCTGCTCCACCACCTACACCACCACCTCTCCCTGCTCCACCACCTACACCACCACCTCTCCTGCTCCACCACCTACACCACCACCTCTCCCTGCTCCACCACCTACACCACCACCTCTCCCTGCTCCACCACCTACACCACCACCTCTCTCTGCTCCACCACCTACACCACCACCTCTCTCTGCTCCACCACCTACACCACCACCTCTCTCTGCTCCACCACCTACACCACCACCTCTCTCTGCTCCACCACCTCTCTCTGCTCCACCACCTACACCACCACCTCTCTCTGCTCCACCACCTACACCACCACCTCTCTCTGCTCCACCACCTACACCACCACCTCTCTCTGCTCCACCATCTACACCACCACCTCTCTCTGCTCCACCACCTACACCACCACCTCTCTCTGCTCCACCACCTACACCACCACCTGTCTCTGCTCCACCACCTCTCTCTGCTCCACCACCTCTCTCTGCTCCACCTCTCTCTGCTCCACCACCTACACCACCACCTCTCTCTGCTCCACCACCTCTCTCTGCTCCACCTCTCTCTGCTCCACCACCTACACCACCACCTCTCTCTGCTCCACCACCTACACCACCACCTCTCTCTGCTTCACCACCTACACCACCACCTCTCTCTGCTCCACCACCTACACCACCACCTCTCTCTGCTCCACCACCTACACCACCACCTCTCTCTGCTCCACCACCTACACCACCACCTCTCTCTGCTCCACCACCTACACCACCACCTCTCCCTGCTCCACCACCTCTCTCTGCTCCACCACCTACACCACCACCTCTCTCTGCTCCACCACCTACACCACCACCTCTCTCTGCTCCACCACCTACACCACCACCTCTCTCTGCCCACCACCTACACCACCACCTCTCTCTGCCCCACCACCTACACCACCACCTCTCCCTGCTCCACCACCCCTCTCTGCTCCACCACCTACACCACCACCTCTCTCTGCTCCACCACCTACACCACCACCTCTCTCTGCTCCACCACCTACACCACCACCTCTCCCTGCTCCACCTACACCAACATCACTCCCTGCTCCACCTACACCTCTCCCTGCTCCACCACCTACACCAACACCACTCCCTGCTCCACCTACACCACCACCTCTCTCTGCTCCACCACCCCTCTCTGCTCCAACTACACCAACACCACTCCCTGCTCCACCTACACCAACACCTCTCTCTGCTCCACCTACACCAACACCTCTCTCAGCTCCACCTACACCAACACCTCTCTCTGCTCCACCTACACCAACACCTCTCTCTGCTCCACCTACACCAACACCTCTCTCTGCTCCACCTACACCAACACCTCTCTCTGCTCCACCTACACCAACACCTCTCTCTGCTCCACCTACACCAACACCTCTCTCTGCTCCACCTACACCAACACCTCTCTCTGCTCCACCTACACCAACACCTCTCTCTGCTCCACCTACACCAACACCTCTCTCTGCTCCTACACCTACACCAACATCTCTCTCTGCTCCTACACCTACACCTCTCTCTGCTCCTCCACCTACACCACCACCTCTCTCTGCTCCTCCACCTACACCACCACCTCTCTCTGCTCCTCCACCTACACCACCACCTCTCTCTGCTCCTCCACCTACACCACCACCTCTCTCTGCTCCTCCACCTACACCACCACCTCTCTCTGCCCCACCACCTACACCACCACCTCTCTATGCTCCACCACCAACACCACCACCACTCCCTGCTCCACCTACACCAACACCTCTCTCTGCTCCACCTACACCAACACCTCTCTCTGCTCCACCTACACCAACACCTCTCTCTGCTCCACCTACACCAACACCTCTCTCTGCTCCACCTACACCAACACCTCTCTCTGCTCCACCTACACCACCACCACTCCCTGCTCCACCACCTACACCACCACCTCTCTCTGCTCCACCACCTACACCACCACCTCTCTCTGCTCCACCACCTACACCACCACCTCTCTCTGCTCCACCTACACCACCATCTCTCTCTGCTCCACCAACACCACCATCTCTCTCTACTCCACCACCTACACCACCACCTCTCTCTGCACCACCACCTACACCAACACCTCTCTCTGCTCCACCTACACCACCACCACTCCCTGCTCCACCACCTACACCACCATCTCTCTCTGCTCCACCACCTACACCACCACCTCTCTCTGCTCCACCTACACCACCACCTCTCTCTGCTCCACCACCTACACCACCACCTCTCTCTGCACCACCACCTACACCACCACCTCTCTCTGCACCACCACCTACACCACCACCTCTCTCTGCACCACCACCTACACCACCACCTCTCTCTGCACCACCACCTACACCACCACCTCTCTCTGCACCACCACCTACACCACCACCTCTCTCTGCTCCACCACCTACACCACCACCTCTCTCTGCTCCACCACCTACACCACCACCTCTCTCTGCTCCACCACCTACACCACCACCTCTCTCTGCTCCACAACCTACACCACCACCTCTCTCTGCTCCACAACCTACACCACCACCTCTCTCTGCTCCACAACCTACACCACCACCTCTCTCTGCTCCACCTACACCACTCCCTGCTCCACCTACACCACCACCTCTCTCTGCTCCACCACCTACACCACCACCTCTCTCTGCTCCACCACCTACACCACCACCTCTCTCTGCTCCACCACCTACACCACCACCTCTCTCTGCTCCACCACCTACACCACCACCTCTCTCTGCTCCACCACCTACACCACCACCTCTCTCTGCTCCACCTACACCACTCCCTGCTCCACCTACACCACCACCTCTCTCTGCTCCACCACCTACACCACCACCTCTCTCTGCTCCACCTACACCACTCCCTGCTCCACCTACACCACCACCTCTCCCTGCTCCACCACCTACACCACCACCTCTCTCTGCTCCACCACCACCTCTCTCTGCTCCTCCACCTACACCACCACCTCTCTCTGCTCCACCACCTCTCTCTGCTCCACCTACACCACCACCTCTCTCTGCTCCACCTACACCACCACCTCTCCCTGCTCCACCTACACCTCTCCCTGCTCCACCACCTACACCAACACCACTCCCTGCTCCACCTACACCACCACCTCTCTCTGCTCCACCTACACCTCTCCCTGCTCCACCACCTACACCACCACCTCTCTCTGCTCCACCTACACCACCACCTCTCTCTGCTCCACCACCTACACCAACATCACTCCCTGCTCCACCTACACCACCACCTCTCTCTGCTCCACCTACACCACCACCTCTCCCTGCTCCACCTACACCACCACCTCTCCCTGCTCCACCACCTACACCACCACCTCTCTCTGCTCCACCACCTACACCAACACCACTCCCTGCTCCACCTACACCACCACCTCTCTCTGCTCCACCTACACCACCACCTCTCCCTGCTCCACCTACACCACCACCTCTCCCTGCTCCTCCACCTACACCAACATCACTCCCTGCTCCACCTACACCACCACCTCTCTCTGCTCCACCTACACCTCTTTCTGCTCCACCTACACCACCACCTCTCCCTGCTCCACCTACACCACCACCACTCCCTGCTCCACCTACACCACCACCACTCCCTGCTCCACCTACACCACCACCACTCCCTGATCCACCATCTACACCAACATCACTCCCTGCTCCACCTACACCACCACCACTCCCTGCTCCACCTACACCACCACCACTACCTGCTCCACCTACACCACCACCACTCCCTGCTCCACCACCACCCCCACCTGCTCCACCACCACCTACACCCCCACAGCAGCAGGTGGTGAGAGGGAGGATGATGCCTGCTCCGTCCCCTCCCCCCCCCCCCCCCCCCACACACACACACCATCACCCCGGCGCCGCCACCTTCACCTCACCTGTGACAGGAGGTGTGGAGGCTGGCGGCTATCAAGTGAGCAGCTGCTGTAGCTACAGCATACCTGGAGGAGGTGGGGTCTGCGGCCAGCACGGGCAACATAAGTATCCTGGCGGCACCTGAGTCAGCGTCACACTGGCCGCTGGAGTCACTGACCACCACAACACTCGTGACGTCACCGCCGCCACCAGCGCCATCTGCACCAAACACTTCCCAACCTCCTCCATATTTACGCTCCATATGCAGTGTTCTGGCCAGCAACACAACTCTTTTTTACCGAGATTCGTAGCTGGTATTTATCTGAGGTATTATCCGTTCAAAAACTGGAGATTGTTCAAAGTATTTGTTGGTTAGAGTTGGGAACCCAAGGGATGTCAACGCTAAGTAAGGAAGGGATCCATAACCTTGCCTACACGTCTAATATTGCCAAGATTTAACCACATCTGTTTAATTTAATTATTATAATATTTGTATTACTGTATCTTTATACAAACCGGCTAATACTTTACATATTCTCCCGAGTTGATGCCTTAACGCAAACGTTAAAACCAATTCGCACCCGAGCAACACATGAGCACCACACTAGAAATAATTATAGATTTGATATCCCCAGAGACGAACTGAATCTGTGCAAACACTCCATGCAAATAAAATGGCCCAGTCTTTGGTACTCACTCCCTGACGAATTAAAATGTTGTGCAACTGTTCTAGAGTAAAACCAAAAAGTACGTAATTTCCTCCTCACAGTTTCCTACCTTGTGGCTCAACCTCTCACTGTACCTTGTACTGCCACCTTCCCCAATATTAGTACTGAAGACATATATATATTTACCAGTAAGTATAATCACCTCTGTCAACTTATGTTGTAGTTATTTGTTGATATATAAAACCTTGTTATAATGTACCTTTTCTTCTTACCTGTTATGTTACATTAAGGACCAGCTGCCAGAAACCCTGTGTGTGTGTGTAAATATAAGATTGT